CATAAACTAGAAAGCAAAATAATGCCTTAATGTGCCCAAAATATCTCATTATATAATAGATACATAGAGACATATGATACCCTGCATTGTTAGTTGCAGAAATTNTCATCACTTGTAGCTGTTCGAGGCCGACCTGAATGACCTTTATGCACATCACACACTGTTCCATGAACTTCGAATTTGTCTCGTATGCGTGTAATTGTTAATCTTGAAGGTGGTTCTGTATCATACTCCCTTCTCCACTGTCTTTGAACTTCATTTACATTTTCAAACTTCCAGTACCACTTAATAACCTGCTTACGTTCTTCAAAACTCAAACGTACGTCCCCCATGTTGATATTACAAATTCCAACTGATAATATAACATAGAGGGACGATTATGCTGCCACCTGGCGAAGAAATATAACATTAGCCTTGTAGAGCGGGAAAACTACAATAGTTCAAAGTGTGTATACATTTTTTTGAAGCACCCTGTATATATATATATATATTTTTTTTTTTTGAGGTGGAGCTCCCTAGTGGACAGGGATTTCACACAAAAACGCGATATTCGACAATTTTCGTTCTTCCATTACAAATGGATAAAAAACACTGAACACAAATTAGAATACTGGCCACTGTGGACAAGAAAATTAAAAATTAATGATAAAAATATAAACATTTTTTAGAAAGGTGTTGAAACTTCTTTTAACAATAAGAATCTTAAGAGCAATCACCCTTTCGTCCCTTTCCGAATTGGTTGGAACCTAATACATTTTTGTAGGTCGAATATTCGAGCTCCGTCTCTCACCATTTGGCTGCCTTCTTTGTGAGCCTCGTAATAGAATCCCATAATAAACATAAAGCATAAGAAAAGCCTTATTGCTCACAGGATGGAAAACACCCTTAGAAAAAACTCACGTGCAGTACTGTACCTACATCGTAGACAGCCGGATAGCTGAGCCGTCAGGGTGGCAGGATGGTAGCCTACCACTCTGGGAACCCGGAATCGAATCCGGACGGAATAACTCCAGGAATTTTTCGGGTATGGTTCGTCCGGATATTTCAGGACCCGACCCGACCCTCACCCTGTTGTTCTATTGAGGGTCTGACCGAACTCATAACGGGCTTGCTAAAAAGCCCTTTTAGTGTCCAAGGATGAGAAGAATTTTAAATGGGAAAAAACTTGTATCTTGGTTAATTAAATGTATTTGATTATCCTTATAAGTTAATTAATGAAAATCAAAAATATCAGGATCAAAATAACCAAGAATATTTTCAAAGTAAAATACAAAATACAGTACAGTATTTCTACAGAGGATCAATTTGAAAGGAGCTATTTATATCATTGCTTATTTTTCGAGATACTTATACCAATCAATAACTTATCATTGGCAGATCACGAAGTATGTAAGTCAACAGAAATCAATATTTTGAAAAGAACGATAAATTTTACGATATTTTATATGGATTAGTCCATTCGAAAAGTCTTATAACATGATCATAAGTGTAAACGTTTAGAAAGATATCTCTTCAAAAAATATCATACGAATAGCCAGATTCATTTATCGGATTATTAAGTCATCTCTTGTTAAATTTANTGTCCTATATTAAAAACTAAAATTTATTTGTTTGTAAGCTTAAAATAGATTTTTATTAACCATATATTATTAAAAATGCAGTAATAAATAAAATACAAAACCAGGAATGGTAATTTATGGTTTAGCCTAGTGACAAGTAGATTCGGAAACAAGTAAATTCGACTTACGTCGTTCTCCTGGAACCAATTACCGACATAAGGCGAGGTATACCTGTAGTTGAGAAACATCTCTTGCAACATAATGCATAGTTGCAATTAACACTGCTTTTCTCTGACTGGCTATAAGTTTGGCTTGCATCTTATTGGTTGGAGAAAGTCAGGCACCACAAACTATTGACAAACTATTTTTGTTAAGGTATGTCAAAAATATTTTATTTATACCTAATACAGGTATGTACCATACCTGATATTGTATTAATAAAATTTCATACCTCCTATCAAACCTATTACTGTTTATTATGTAGGAACCTCTATATGTTGTATTTTTTTTCTCTATCATTCACATGAGATTTGAGATGGCAGGTTCAACTGTATTTCTAATGTGAATCTTTCAAGTATCAGATTCAATGAATTGTTAAACTTTCACTTAAAAATTAATTATATTTTTATATTTTAATGCTGCTTTCTTTTGAAGATTATTTTCATTTTATTTTATATCTAGTTTCTAGATCAGTGGTTTTTAACTGGTATTCCTTAAACTTATCTCAAGTGTTTAATGAAAAAAAGATTAAAGTTTTTATTGCAAATTTATTCTAATATACTACAACATATTACTTTTTTTGTAGACACTTCCATGCTTCTATTTTATTCAATACAATAAAGTTTATTAGTTTATTTATTGCTTTATTGTTTTGTCAGAATAGTAAACAGGAATTGCTTATCAACTTTTTATTATATTGATGCTATTGCTCCTTGTAATAAAGAGTATATGAATGGTGTTCCAAAGCTTCAGAAAAGTTGAGAACTACTATTCTTGATTGACAGATACCATAACAGTAATTTATTCCAAATTTGATAATCAAGTTTTATATAATCAACCAAGTAAAATCTGAATGAGGTTAAAAAATATGAAATTATGATCTTTACGCAAGGCTTTTTTTTTTTTTAACTCTCCACCCTGTGGGTACCCACAGGGTACCAACAGGACTATGTAAGGCTTTATAAAAAATCTTTCATTGTTTCATTTGAACAGTAACTTTTTGAAAATTTTTCCTAGGCCTTCATGCAGATAATCTTCATCTTTTAAAATTTGATGATTACATTTGGGAATCAGATTTTTAATCTTTCCATATTTATAATTTGGAATTTTAGTTTTTTTTCCTGAATATTCAAATAAAAGTATTGTTCAAAAGTTTTGAATCATTATAATTCAGAATGTCACTCAACATTCAGTTTTAAAGATAGCCACTTCTAAGTCTACTATAGGAACGTCTACTATTTATTATGAATAAATAGTGTCTACACAAAAATATGATATAACTTGTGGTTTATACAATGGGTCTGAAAGTGATTTGGATAATCAAAAATTTGGGTAAGTGGATTAACGTGTAAAGAATAAAATTATAGGTTTAACAGCACAATATTGTATGCATACTGTATTCAATAATTCATCAATGTGTGATTAGCATCCTACTGATCATTTGGATCTGTCACAGCAAACTACTTTCCACCACAGTAGACGTGAATGGCAGTATTGCTACCATTTTTCTTAATGTCCAAAACAGTAGTTTCTCTCTCACCATATTTTTCAGCAATACATTTCTCTGATTCTTCTTTTTTCAATGTATTGACAATCTCAACTTTTTCTGCCGTGGTAAGAACAACACATTTTTGTTTCTGTGAGTACGAAGACATAATCAGAGCTGCATTCACAGTAAACATAAGAACTGCATGTACCACATTTAAGTTAATGCATTTCCTTTTGAATAGAATGTCTAAATATTGGCAAATTGCTTGACACTACTTTGTACAGATACCAAAAAACAGATTTATTTATAAAACATTTTCAGTTTCTTTTGAGCCATCTTTAATTTATACAAATGAAACAAAATTGAATGCTGTTTTTAATCACTGTTCTATAGAATATAACATTTAAAAGTTTTATTTTGCATTAAAATGATTTTAAAAAGAAAGGAACATGTAGAACAAAATTGAATTGTGTGTGTGAAAATATAGTTTGTCCAAAACAGTTTTTAAAAATAATGCAACTCAACCTAAGACTAACAGCCAACTAAATTTAAAACATCTATAAGCCTTTAGTTGCAATATAGTTGTGAGGACCAGAAATTTAGTGTTCTAAACTAAAATTTTTTTTATAAACTTTATAAAGATGGAACAAGAAAACAGAAAATTAAAAGAGAAAAAGGAAAAATAAAATCAATAAAAACTCGATTCCCACGAGTTGGGTTCCTTGTTGAGATGAGTACATTTCTGTGTCACAGTTGTGTCACCCGTCCCCTCATTGGACCAAGAAGATCGTCATCGCTGACGAAATCGGAGAAAGGTTCGAAAATGAGGACTTGATATAAAAGGGGACAGGCACGATGAGTAAGTGTGGAAGTTATTATTGGTGTCTGTGTGTGCACTCCGAACGTCTACCTCCCGCTAAGATTCCGTCAACCAACACTTCCTTCTCAACTACAAGACTAGAAGACCTCAATGGAAATTTTTCTACTCACCTGAAAAGAACTGTTCACTTAAAAAGAACTGTTGGACCTTTTGTGCTGATTTTGGACTAGAGCTCCTACAACCTAAGGTATTTATCCTGCCTGCGCACTATTGTACGCTCTCTCTCTCCGCATAAACAAAACGCGCACCCGATCGTTAATTTGAACTAAAAATTGAATAATAACTGAACCCTACTCATGTAGTTTATGTTTGCATTTATTCGCTGATGTAAACCAAATTTAGATTATATATAAATAAACGGTTTTTATGTTTAAAACTTCTGGAGTGCAGTTTCTTCCGGTTTTCTCTCAGTTTCTCCATTCCGGGTCCAACCCTCATACCTATCTGCTCGCGCGAATTTGTGGTCTCTGTATCGACCGAAGGATACAGTGGTGTCATCCTGACTGGGTATCGAAGAGATACCGACCCTATGGTCATATAGTTATTAAAAATTAATTTTTCTCTGCATTCGAATACATGGAAAATGAAAATGTAACTGAGCCTGAAATGAATCCTTGTTAAGTGATAGCGGATGATCTCATTTATGAATATATCAAATAAATAATTTTTCAATACAAAGCAGTGTCAAATAACTCATCAGTCAAAATGGTGCCAAGTTTTCTATACTTTAATATCTAAATATTTATTTTAAAAAATTTTTTCTCAGTCTCACTTGAATTTCTTACTTATTTCTTTCTAATTAATTTTCATAGTCTGTTCAGTATAAAATTCCATATCTACTGGCACCAATAATATGTCTTTAGGTAGCAATTAGTATTAATCAATATTTTCTATGCTTATACAGTGTCAAGACAGAAAATAGTACAAGTTCATGTTTTTGTAAATATTTTTAAAAAAAAAATTAAAGAGAAATGATGGAATGGAACATTTAAAGAAAGGATTTAATTTAGGAAGTAAAAATCTAATTTTGGAAAATCTTTTTGTCTAAATATTGATTTGTATAATTGTAATTTTGAAGTGTTCAGATTAATGCTGAATTCTATCAAATTCAACATTAATTAAAATATAACATTGAAGTGTTTTCATCTTGTTAATTTTGATAGACTATAATCAATATTTTATATTATAATTCATACATTTCATATTATAAGTTGTTATTCTTTTGAATTTATGTATGTATCCAAAGTTTTACACTTTCAAAAATTCAAAATAGAATTTTATTGTTTATCATTGTGATAAAGGATTTTGAATTAATTGTGACAATAAGTCAGAAAGCTATAATTTTTTTTCTTTTTTGCAGTATATCAGAAACAGAAAATGATCCCGTTACAAGTATCAGCTTTACTTCAGCTTTACTTTCACAACAGAGTATCATTCCATCATCTGTAGCAAACATAACTCTTTCTGATATCTGTGAAGATGGAAACTTACAATCTTCTGCTGACAATTTTTCAGCTACAAGTAATACTCTATTTGATTCTTCAGAATCACCTAACTTTTTCATTAGTACTAATCAGTTAAATGTAAGTGAAGTAAATACTGCACCTGCAGAAAATGTAGAAACAATTGTTTCAGTAGTCAACGATTCGCAATCAACATTGAATAGAAATGAGACTGTTGCTTCAAATAATGCATCTAATATAAAGTATGTGCAATGTGAGTATCATCATAAAAATTTTACTATGAAAAGTTTTTCAAATTTTAATTTTTTTAACAATTTCTGAAAAAATACTTATGTCAGAAATATATATATATATTTTTAATTTTATTATTAGTGAAAACAAATGGAGTTCGTAGATTTAAATGTGATTTTGGAGAATGTAATTATACAACTTCATATAAAAAAGATTTGGAAAGACATTTTAGAATTCATACGGGTGAGAAACCTTATAAATGCCAACAATGTGGGAAAATGTTCAATCGCTCTGATAAGATGAAACAACATGAAAGATGGCATAATGGTGACAAGCCATATCAGTGCAGATTATGTAAGTATAGAATTTTAAAACATTGTTTTAAAAATTTATTCATTTTATAATTAAATAATAACTATTAATAATTAGGCTATTAATTTTTCTTGAATTTTTGTTGATAAATTACAGCTAAGTATGATCATCATTTATATATATAATTTTATATATATTTTAAAAAATTAAATTGAAAATAATATATTTAATTTCTATGTGGATATATGTATAAAATTGTTTATGATAATCCTACAAGTTTTATTTGGTTAAGGTTCATTATACTTGATGATTCGACAGCATTTATTGGAAAGTTTCAAATTTTATATCTTTATAAAAGGATGTAGTAATGTTATCTTTACATAAAGAAAATCTTAGTTACAACTTCAATTATATTCTTCCTTATCTAAAATATATTAGAATTGAAGAACATTGTCTATTGCAAATTAGATTGGGCTGCAATTTGAAAAAATTGTAGACCTATAAATTTCCACTGTCGTTCTGTCTTTTCTTAATATCAAGAATGGAGTTAGATAAATGAAAGACAAGACCAGATATGGAAACTTTAGGGGCAGGAGGTTTCAATCAACTGTATATGAACTTCTGATGCAAATTGAAAGTCACATTATTTCAATTTGAAACTTTCCCTTGAAAGCAGTTAATAGATGATTGACGTGATTCTATTGTTAAAGGAAAAGTATGATGTACAGGGCAAGACACTACTAATTTGAGATGGAGAGCCTATATTTTAAATTAAATAAATTAAAAATGTGATTAAAAATTGCAGCCCGTCATTATGATGATGTCACCATAAATAATTGCTCATTTTATTTGAAATATTTTAATGTAGTATAACATTGTTTAGATCTAATAAAATTACCTTTTTATAATAACTTGTCTTTCAGAACATAAAACCAAAAATTAAAGTTGATTAGGTAAATTATGTACAATCCAAATTGTAAATTATGTAATCAAGATTTTCATACTGGACAAAAATATTAATTATGTGAACTTCTTTATTTATGTTCTATGATAATTATTCTAAACATAATCAATCAATTTTAAATTTTGTGTTCTATATTGCTCATTCGTATTTATTGCAAACTGAGAATGGCTGAAAATGTTATTAAATAAAGAATAATTTTGGTTTCCTGAACTTAGGTTTGGTTTTTTAAGTACCAATGATCTTCACTTTTATAATTGTGCAGCCTCTACCAATAATAATAAATATAATGCATTTCATAGTAAAAGTAATAAAAATCAATGTGAATTTATAAATTATGTGCATGTCAATTATAAATCAGTTTTGAAAAATAGATACATCTTCATATGTAAAAGATTTATTTATATTGTATATAAATAAGCATATATGCTATACATAGGATATAAAAGGGGACAGGCACGATGAGTAAGTGTGGAAGTTATTATTGGTGTCTGTGTGTGCACTCCGAACGTCTACCTCCCGCTAAGATTCCGTCAACCAACACTTNAACTTCTGATGCAAATTGAAAGTCACATTATTTCAATTTGAAACTTTCCCTTGAAAGCAGTTAATAGATGATTGACGTGATTCTATTGTTAAAGGAAAAGTATGATGTACAGGGCAAGACACTACTAATTTGAGATGGAGAGCCTATATTTTAAATTAAATAAATTAAAAATGTGATTAAAAATTGCAGCCCGTCATTATGATGATGTCACCATAAATAATTGCTCATTTTATTTGAAATATTTTAATGTAGTATAACATTGTTTAGATCTAATAAAATTACCTTTTTATAATAACTTGTCTTTCAGAACATAAAACCAAAAATTAAAGTTGATTAGGTAAATTATGTACAATCCAAATTGTAAATTATGTAATCAAGATTTTCATACTGGACAAAAATATTAATTATGTGAACTTCTTTATTTATGTTCTATGATAATTATTCTAAACATAATCAATCAATTTTAAATTTTGTGTTCTATATTGCTCATTCATATTTATTGCAAACTGAGAATGGCTGAAAATGTTATTAAATAAAGAATAATTTTGGTTTCCTGAACTTAGGTTTGGTTTTTTAAGTACCAATGATCTTCACTTTTATAATTGTGCAGCCTCTACCAATAATAATAAATATAATGCATTTCATAGTAAAAGTAATAAAAATCAATGTGAATTTATAAATTATGTGCATGTCAATTATAAATCAGTTTTGAAAAATAGATACATCTTCATATGTAAAAGATTTATTTATATTGTATATAAATAAGCATATATGCTATACATAGAAATTTATTTATATTGTTTGCAAAACAAAATTAAAAATATCAAATATTAAAAAATTCATACTAGTTAATTCATGTTTGTTTTTTAATATTTTAAATATAGTCAGATTTAAAATATTAATAAATTGTCTTTAACTTTGGAGACTATTTCAAATTATAGTGTGGTGTGAAATTTCACACATTTTGTGACAAGTTTGCAAAAATTTTTTAACATATATTAATTTTATAAAATATTATATAATTATTTTAATTTACTTATATTATTCATATTCTTTTATATTTCATAGTGACAGATAATTAAAAGTTAGAGAAATCTGAAAGTAAAATGATTTTTAATATTAATTTTAAAAGGTTCCTATGCAACAGGAGATAAGAGTAGTTTAAGAAAACATATAAGAATTCATACTGATGAAAGACCTTTCAAGTGAGTTAATTTTATATTTCATTGAGACTTCATTTCAATTAATATTTGTAAAATAAGTAAATTTTTATTTTGACAAAATTTTGAATAACATATATGAAAATGAAAATAAAAATATGATGCAGTATAACTAAGAATATTGAAAACTTATGAAATTTAATATAAAATATGCTTAAACAAATTTTTAAAGAAAATTACAATTAATATATTTAAAATGTTTCAGATGCCAGATATGTCCTTATGCCAGTCGTAATTCTAGCCAATTAGTTGTCCACCTGCGTACTCATACTGGTGATGCACCATATCAATGCAGTGTCTGTGGTACTAAATTTAAGATTAATTCAGATTTGAAACGTCATATGCGTATACATAGTGGAGAAAAACCATTTGCTTGTCCTTTATGTAATTATTGTTGTTCCATAAAAGGTAAATTCTAATTTTAATTATTATACAATTTTGGAATAATTAGATTTTTAATTTATAAAATTTACACAGACGTCTGTGTAAATTTTATAAATTGAAGACAAACTCAATTGAAACAGTCACTTTTTTGTTTACTTTTATATTACAGAATACACTCCATGATAACCAGACTTTACCTTTTAAAAAGAGGCTACTTATTCACCAAAATTTAAAAATTTCCTTAAAACATTAAAAATTAAATCTTTTCTAAAATCAGAATGGAAACAAACACAGACAGGTGTTTGTTTCCATTCTGATTTCTTAATTTTCTTATCCATACTGCATTGGGACCATGCTATTGTGTTCAATTTTAATTAATTTAATTGAATTTTGTTAAATTCATATTTTTTAACATACTTAAATCATTATCAGTTATGATTATTTATTCTATTTTTATTTTATTTACTTAATTAACAAAAATATTTATTGAGAAAAAATGGTATAATTAGCAAAAAGAAAAATATATTAAACTTTTAAAACAAAATATTAATATTTTCTAATTTTATTAATTATTCATATTTAATATATTATAATATATAAATAAGATAGTTTTACAATATCTACTTAATTAATAATCTAAAAAACATTTAAAACTGAATATGATTTTATGCTTATCTTTATTTTTAAATTTTTAAACCAGCTCAGAGTTCTTAAAATATTTTATTTCAGACTTTACTGTTTTATCAGAAATAAATAAATTTGTACAATAATAGCAAATAAAGGTAATTTTTCAGATAACTAACAATGAATTTTTCCATTCAGTTTTTGTGGGGCGTTCACAATCATCATTTCTCAGATGAGAAGTAAATATAATAAATTAATCCAAATCTATAAAGATAAAAGAAAATAAAATGTATAATTTAACACATTTATAACATAGTTTTTTTTGTTTTTCCTCCAGAAATCTATATATGATTTGTTAGAATTTGTGTATTTAAAATTGCCTGTAGAGTATAATTTATGGTGAGTTAGATTATAAAATTGATTTTTTTTTATTATGTCTATAGATCAGCGTTTCTCAAAGTGGGCGATAACGCCGCCTTGTGGGCGCTGGAGGCTTTCAGGGGGGCAGTAGAAGGCTCAAAGAGAATTGGGGGGCGTTAAGGAAATATAGAGGGGCGACGGCAGACAAATTCTATATATAAAAATTCGACGGAATATATATAAAATGTTGACATTTTATATATTTTTTATTTTTTATTGAAGGTCACAACTTGAATATTTCTAACACATTGACTTTTATTTTAGCTCAGCGTTTCTCAAAGTAAGCAATAACGCCCCCTTCTGGCGCGATGAATAGATCTATGATAGAGGCAGGGTATTGAACGGTGACCAAAGGCAAAATTGGGGCTGATAAGAGGAAACATTGCGTTTAATGGTTTCCAGATGATGAGAACAATGTACAGTAAGTGCACAAAGTGTGAGATTCATAGAAAAGTTTTCCTAAGAATATTTCCAATCCTTTTCTCACACAAGAGAGAATGGGTTAGGGGGCGTTGGGTATAACTTTATGGAACAAAGGGGGCGGTGGATCGAAAAAGTTTGAGAATCACTGCTATAGATGGTATGTGATTGTTAAATATGTTTTATAATTTTACCTGCTATGCACTGTTTGTGACACACACTAAAAGAAGTGGTTTTTGAACATGCTCTTGGAATAACAATTGCAAATATGTGAATTATTTATGCCAAGGCTAATAAAAAAAAACAAATAGATATACAATAGTTTCAAAAGGAATGATTTCCACTCTTCAAGTTAGAAATCAGAGTTTTACTCAATAACAATCCATAGTTAATAGATTATCAAAATCTTTGCATGAACTTGGTAAATATTTTTCAATGAAAGTTAAATGTTAATTTTATTGGAAAATTTTTGATTTTTCAATTTTTTGTTCTTTTCAATAAATCATTTATATTATAATAAATTTTATTTTTTACCACATAAATGGATTCAATACACATAACTTCATATATCATTTCTATCATCAAAAGAAATTTTTATGTTTCAAAAATGTTACAAAATGGTAATGATGCTTTATGTATGGCCACATACTAAAGATAAACTTCTACTATAAAAGTTAGTCCAGCTAAGTAGCATTACATTTTATTGTTGTATGTATGCCACTGGTTGGAATACAATAGCTAATGTAGAAGATGCAAATGCACTACTAGTGGTACACAACATTGTAAACATGTTAATGTAGTAATTATTATTTTAAAAATACATTTTTATAGAAAAATATTAATTATATGACAAATTTGTCAATTGTAATGTATCTTTTTTTGCAAATAAAATAAAATCTTAAATGAAAATTAATCAAATGATATAAGTATTGAATTATACATGAAATTGTTTATTTCTAAATTCTACAAATTAATTTTCTGAATTTCTTTAAATACAGCAATCTTTCTGTGTAATAAATAAAATAGGATCATAATAGATTGAAAGCACATATATTATTACATTCCAAATATATATTTTATAAATTATTTTAAATCATAAATATTCATTTAATAATGTAACATATATTACAGCAGTAATATATAATTAATATCAACTTTTTGAAAATATTTGTCATTTATTTAATGATTATTATATAATAGAACTTATACAGTGGTACCTCAGGTTACGAACACCCCATCATACGAAATTTTCAGGATACGACATGAAATTCGAACATATTTTTGCTCCACGATACGAACAAAAACTCACCATATGACGTTTCATTAGTTCACATTTTTCATTTGTTTTTCTTACTACAGTTATTTTTTTTTAATGTATTACTTGGCTTTAATTTGAGTATGTTTTTCGCGTTGGAACGAATTATTTGGTTTTACATGTAATCATATGGGAAAAGATGATCCACCTTACGACATTTTCATGATACAATCTCAGTTTCAGAACGGATTAATTTCGTATCCTGAGGTACCACTGTACAAAGAATAACTTATTCAGGTTATTGAAATTGTTTTTATAATTATTGAATACAAAGATATTAAATAATAAATTTGACAGAGAACAAGTATTTTATACTGTTATCAATTTGAGACTTGTGTTTGTTTTCTAATGCTTAAAAATGTATCTAAAATTTTCAGGTAATCTTAAAACTCATATCCGCTTAAACCATTCAGCTGATAACCAACTTCATTGTCCTTTGTGTGATTTTGTGTCATCATCTCGTAAAATGTTACTGGAACATAAACGTTCTCATGCTGCAAAACCACTTCATTGTTCACAATGTGTATATACTGCTACTTCTCCCTCTGCATTGAAGAATCATCAGCGTGTACATAGTGAAGAAAAACCATTTAAGTGTGATTACTGTGCCTATTCATCTCGACAACCTTGTGAGTATTTATCCATTTAATATTTCTAATGTATATAAATGATAAAGTAAAATATTGCAGATTTTATAATTTAAAAATTGAAAATTAAAACAATCTATAATTTTTTCATTAAAATTTTAATATTAATTTAACTACTTAATTGCAAAAAATAATTATTATTATTGAACCAAAATACAAGTCTAGTTTAGAGAATAAGTTAAGATCATGCAAAATATGTACAAATTACTTATTATATGATCAGTTTTGTATCAAAATTGGTAATTAATTATACATTATATCACTGGCAAAATAAATTTCTTATCATATTTTGTCATTATCACATACAAGTCAGTTACAATGTTTGTTGAAACATTATCAACAGAATTAATATATAGGTGTCTAACATAAATAAATAAATGCTACACTATCTACATATTACATCATTTTCAGAGTTAATAAGTTTAAGGAAACATATACCAGTATTCTTACATCTTTATTTTACAAAGTATTCAAGGCTATGCTCAATGAGCAAAGAATGTCTCTTCCCAATTTAAAAATGAAAAATACCCCATTTTTTTCATCCATTTTCAATTCCACAGCTACGTAATATATTTTTTGAAATTGGTCAATATGATCTGCACCATACCGTATATGACAACAATTTATCACACTACTTAGGGTTAATATTTTTTGTGTCGTGTGTGTTATAAAAGGGATCTTATATAATTTTTAAAATTATATCTGCTTGGCCTCTTCATCCTTTGGTGAACAAACATTCCCATCCAACCTATTTTTTTAGAAAAGGCTTTTGCTAAGAAAATCACTGTGCTAGTTCCTAGCTCCAATCTTGTTGTTTCTTCTGCTCTTGAGGCAAAATCTCTTATAACTAGTATTATTGAGCTACTCTTCCAGATCTGTACCTTTTTTACAAAATAGATGTGGTCTTAGAAGGGGTAACATACAAATTTCTATGCATTTTATGCATAGAAATTTGTATGTTACCCCTTCCATGTCTGTGGTACGTGGATGATGTGTTGCTAATGTGGAATGGCTCAGAGGATGAGTTACTACAATTTATACAATTCTTGTCGACCATTTTCCCTGACCATTTCATTTACTAAAGGGGAAGAAAAAGATAAAAAGATCTCTTTCTTGGATTTACTTGTATACAGATCTCACATTGGACCTTTCTTTTTCCATTTTTCACAAATTTGTTGAACTGTCTTACATTATCTCTTCTACTGCCTTCCAGGCAGTAGAAGAGATAATGCCAGATACTGTACAAAAATTTGGTCATTACAGTGCTTATATATAGGGCTTTTTTTTGTACCCATCTTCCTAGCTGTGTGTGGATGAAGAGCTTGCCCACATAAAATTAGCAGTGTGCAGGACTGGATATTTTTTCACCAAGTTTAATTATTTAATCAATCAGGTAAAAAATATGTTGTTTTCACAATCCACTATTTTGTAAAAAGAAACTGGTCTTTGTGTCACCAGTCATCCTGTACCTAGGCTCCCCTTACATATATATTAAACCTTTATAAAATTTGGTTATATACTACCACTGGTTTCCCAGCCCACATCACTTAGAATACTTTGTAATGATAGAGATGGGGTTACATGTTTTGAAAAGTCTGGAGTTTACGCTATAACTTTTCAAAATCCACTAACTGGGTCAAATTTATTATATATAGGTGCCATTACCAGAATGCTCTGTGTCTATCTAGCAGAACATTGTGAAGATATTACACATGGGAGATGTTCAACAGAGCTAGCCAAAAAAGTGATGAATATAAATTTGATCCTCTTTAGTCACAAGTTTTGCTGGTAAAACACTGTGGGGATAGGAGAATCTTGTTCATTTGGGAGTCTTTGTTTATTACATCAATGTTCCCATGCAACTCTCCCACACTTGATATTCTGGAGCTATGGGTTGCACTGTTCAACTTGCTAAAATTATAGGTCAAGCAGTTGACAAGAACATACTGATGACAAGGGAGCTCCAGTCTTTGTTTTGTTTAAATTTTCTTTATATTCTTATTAATTATTTCTGTGTATATAAATTGTTATTTTTGTTAACCATTGCCATTGTATATTATATTTATTTTGTAATGGCATATATTTTTGTATTTTTAAATTTTTATGTTCTATGCTTGTTTGTGAAGAGCAATTTGAAAATGTGTTCTATCTCTAGATTTATAACGTTCCATCAGCCATATTACCTGAAGAAGATGGTTATATACTGTTGAAAGTGCTCATACTTGTTAATTAAATGTATTTACCAGTAATGCCAATACAGTTTTTATATTTTCATTTATTTTTCATATTTGATATAAATAGACACTTTGCTCACTTCCTTTTGGCAATTTAATTACAATAGATTTTAAAATGAATTCAAATTAAAGTATTAAAATTGATAATATTAAAAATTACAATTAAATTATATAAAAAGCTTTGTTGATCTCATTTCTGTTAAACTATAAATTCAAATAAACTTAATATTGGTATATTTTACAGCCTCTTGCATTTTGTGTATATTTGCTTTTGTGTTTTCAAATTAATATTTTATGGCAATTGTACTAAGTTTTTTTAGCAAAGTTATTAAGTTTTTTTTATTTTTATGCAATAAAATTTTTATTTATTATGGTTTCATCTTAAGTTTTCTATTTTTAATTTTTATATTGTTATTTTGAATTTATTCTTAACTAATTGAGTTTCTATTAATTATAGAAACTAAAAAGTATACAAATAAAATATTGTTTTACACATTGTAATTAAATGATTTATTGTAATTAAAAAATACTTAATTTTAATTTTTGAATTATAATGTAACAAACTGTTTAATAATAATAATAAGTGATAAGATAAATAAATTAAATTTTAATTTTTTTCTACCTTTCTTATATTTTATAACTTTTTGTTGATGTTTTAAAGAAGTGTGTGTTAATGAATTTTCTTTTTTTTTTATTCATTTATTTATTTATTTTGACAAATATATTAACTTGAGAATAATTTTTCCATAAAAATCTTCTTAATCATTATTTATATTTTTAGTATTAAATTTTCTTATATTCTATATTGAAGCTTTTATTATTGATAATTGCTTATTAAAATTTTGGATTGACATTTCACTATGGTAACAGTCCATAGCTTAAAAATTTGATGTTAAAACCTTGATCTTCCTTAGCAAAAGATGCCATTCTCCTAGAAAAATTCAATATAATTTTCCCAACATTCCAAATTAAAAAATTGTTGTTATCATTAAAAAGTAAAACCATGATTAAAAACAAGAATTGAATTTTTAACCAAGTTTCAAATAAAATGATTTCTAAAATGTTTTATCATAAACAAATTTTGGATTAATTTTAAAAGTAAAGTTAGAGTGAGCTGGTTGATTCTATTAATAGCAAGTTATGATAATAGTTTTCTGTGATTCCTTATTACAATGATATTTGATTTTGAATTTATTTTATAGGTAATGTTAGAACTCATCAGAAAAAATATCATCCTGAAAAACTTGCAGATAATAAGAAAAAAAATGGTGATAAGGAAGGAGAGGATTCCAGTGATCAATCAGTTACAGACAAATCAAGAACTCGAAGAGTAACATGTAAAAAGACATTTCATTGTACTTTATGTGATAGTTCATTTGTTCGTGAAGAATCTTTACGTGCTCATTTACGTCAGCATAGAGAGAATACTTCAGAACCTGTAGCTCTTGCTATGCTTGAACTTCATCAGCCAGTTGAATCTTCTCCAGCTATACAGCAACAGTTATTAGAAACAAAAAATGATAATGCCAATGATTCTACCATTATTAATTCTTCATTTGATGCAAGATCTACATCTAATCAATTTACAACTCCAGCAACAACTGCAGTATTAGATAAAAGTAATGTACCTGTTTCCATTTGTCTGACAGATAATAATTTAGCAGTATCTTCATCATCTATTTCAGAGTCATTAAACTCCGTATCAATTTCTTCAGCTTCAAATTCAATATTAACTAATGAAAATTTATTTACTCTAAATAATATGGAATCTACTCAGAAAGATAACACTACTTTCTCTGATATTAATAGAAATGCATTAATTTCAACTAATCAATCTAATATGAAAGATGTTCAAATTATTGGAAATGTAACTAATAACATTTCAGAAGCATCAACAGAAGGATCTTCCATTTCATATAATAACATTAGATTAAATAATCAATATGAATTAAGCACTAACAGTCAAACAGTATCTAGGACAGAAGCAGCTGCAACAATGCTGGCACGCATGCAAAATCATAAAAATTTGGCTCAAGAAGACAACATTCACAATGCAACTGTTGCTAATAATAATCTCTCTATTAATACATCAACAGCACCACCATCACAATCTCAAACAGTTTCATGGGTTTCACCTACAGTAGTTGCTACAGCAATTCAAAATAATACAACAACAAATGTTGATAGTATCAAACCAACTCCAGTGGAAAGTACACAGTTATTATATCAGTTTCAAAATGGTCTTAGTCTCATAACTATTCCTTTTATATCTGTTAACAGACCAAATGTAGTGTCTGATCAATCATCAGGAGAAGTTGTAGCAGCACAATCATCCAGTACTTCTAATTCAGCATTGTCTATTCAGCAGCCTGCAACATTTCTCAACCCACAGCCAGCAGTTGTGCAAGTATCAAATATACAGCCTAGCTTTCAATACATACTACAACCATCATCAGATAATCAAGGAAACTCAATACGTTTAGAATTAGCAGGTTTGCAATTAAATGGAAATAACAATATTATTACTTCAGATTCAACTAACTCAACTTCTGTAGCACAAACTCTCCCATCACCTGGATTATTAACATTTGGATCAACTGAATCAACTTTAATTTTGGGAAGCAACACAAATTCAGAAAATCATAGGTTTTTCAGTAATTTAAGCCTTCAAGTAGCCGGAGATGGTTCTGTAGGAAATACAGTGATACCTGCAGTTAACTCTCAAACAGCCTATCCACAATTAGTGTTAGGCCCAGTGAACACTGGAATTGATAATATTACAAGGGGTGCTGTTCAAGAATCTCAGTTAAATAATGTAATATATCCTATAATAACACCTCAGCCTCAATCAGAGTCAAACTCTATTGTTAATAAACCACTTGTTGTGACAGATTCAATGGTGTCAACATCTTTGCCATTGAATCAAGTTATTCCATCAGCTATGCAAAATCAGGGTTCATCTCAGTAACAAATTTTAATATCGTAAAAATAGTTAATAATAATATTTTGTTTTGATTATTTTAAAATATTTTAAATAAGTTTATACAAACTTTATTGACACAGTTTTAATTTATTATTATTTAGAGAATAACAATGCCAGAAAAATACAGATTTGAATACTTTTATTTATTTCTGAAAATTGAATGATAAAAACAATAAAATAGTATGAAAAATATAATTTAGAAAATTTTTAAGAATTAGAATTGCTATTTACTGGCACTCTATATTATGATGAATACTGTTTAGAAAATGCACTAATATATTAGTGCAATTTTTAAATAGTATTTATATTCTTTTTTTACTTTCTTGAAACCATGTTGGTGATTTTTATCATTTTTGAACACTATATAGTTCATACCCACAACACAAGGCAATCTTCATTGTAAATTTATTCAATTTTTAGTTGATACATGTACCTGTTTTTTTTTTTTTTTGTACATGTTTCAGGCTTGTGTAGACCCCTCCTCAGCCAACTTAAGAAAAAATTTCAAAAATGTTCGAAGACCCTCTATAATTTTCCTTAACTGATGATCGATTTAAAATTTTTCTAGTTATTCAATAAGGTAAATATTAGTTATCTTGTTTAATCAAAAATTCTTTAAAGATATACAAAAAACGTACCTTCGCTTTTTTATGCCACTCATTCAAAAGAGCGTCGTTTATCCGAAGGTCAGTTATCCAAAACGTCGGTTATACGAAGGAATTCCAGTATGACAAATTTAAATTTTCGCCAGTGCTGTGGCACTGTAATCTTTGGCTATGTCTTCGGCTACTCAAATATTTTACGTTTTTGATATTAAATTAACTTCTAAAGTATAATTTTTTATTGTTTTTATATTTTTCAATATATTTATTTTGTTTGTACAAAATAAAAAAATAATTTTTAACGATACAATAGTCTTTGTTAGGCTTAACATCGACGAAAATTCAATGCGAAGCAACACGCAACGGAGAAAATTTTCAACACAGGATAAATTAATATATTTTTTCGTACATAATTGGTTATCCGAACAACCCCAGTCCCAATTGATTTGGATAAACGACGCTCTACTGTACTATTCAGGTAACTTATAAAGGTTGTTTTCCAAAGTATCTCTTGGTAAATAAACTATTCACAAGCATATATTCTTTACGTAATTCTTGTTTTATTATTCCGACATTATAGAAGTACTGACAAATTTCTCGAATGCCCTTTTTCTTTGATATGGTCTCGTTGTTTATAGCCTCCCTTATTTCCATATTTTTACAGTGGATACGCCACCTTGTGACTAATTTAGTTAAGTTAGTAGTAAAATCTGTGTAAACCGGAATCACATCTTACCAAATATTTTTTCCAGTTTGGCAAGTTTCCATATTGAACAGGTTTCTTTTTAACACAAAAAATTGCTCTGTTTCAAATAATTTTTTCCTTTTAGGCAGGTTTCTGATTTATTCACTAGGGCAGGTTTGATTGTATATATTTTTTAAATTAAATATTAAAATATTTGATAGGGGTTTCAAAGAAAACTTCATAAGTTGTTAATTTTTTAGTAATAGTAATTTGTTTAGTCATGTTTTTTGCAATAGAAATTAAATTTTACTTAAAATACTTACTGAAGGAAATAATGCAATTTCTAAATATTTATTAGATGATGTAATTAATAAAATGTATAAAATTTCAATGTATAAAATGTATAGCATAGTCACTTCTTATCACGTCTTATTTAAAGATTATTTGAAAAACGTTTATTCATTTTAACAACTATCATTGTATTTGTTTAGTTTTAAAATTAAAAATTGTCCATAAATATAGTTGTAAATGGTTATGGTTGAAAAACAGAGTACAGCAATACTATGTGATAGCAATGGATGGGAAATCAGCTAATATATTTTAGAGAGATCTAAGTTAGCTAGTAAACATGGCATTTTCAATGATGATTTTTTTGTGGATTTTATTATTGGGCCGCAATTTGAAAAATTGTAGACCTATAAATTCCCACTGTCATCTACTATCCATCCTTCCTTAATCTTGAGAATGGTGTTAGATAGATGAAAGTCAAGACAAGATATGGAAAGCTTAGGGATGGGAGGCCCAGATTAACTACATACAAACTTCTGGTATAGACTGGAAGTCATGTGATTTCAATTTTAAAAATTTTCCCCAGAACGGAGTTACATAGATGACTGGCATGACTATGTTGTTGTCAGGAAAGGTATGATGTACAGGGGCAAGACAAGATATTAATAATTTGTATACAGAGCATATATTTTAAATTAAATAAATTAAAAATATGATTAAAAATTGCAGCCTGGCATTGTGATTATGTCACAATACATTTTGCTTATTATTATTATATTTTTTATTTTAATACTTTTGTTGATGATTGTATAAGTTGATGATGCTCATAATGTAAGTATGAAGATGTGTATATTGACAGATTCATTAAGGATAGGGTTATCAAAATTAGTTATGATCATTAAAAGAAAGAAGTGACTACTACTATTGTCTTTCTTCAAGATCATAATGATAGTAACATAAATGACAAATGCAAATAACAAAATAAATAAAATCAACAAAATGTCTTATTTATTAATTAAATACTGTAACTCAGTTGAATCTTTCACATTAGGAGGAATTAGTGATTCTTTATAAGACCATCATATTTTTAAATAATAGAAAAAACTATATATATATGAACTTTTATTATAATTTCATAATTATAAGTATATGAAATTTTGGCACCATATTTTTAATAAAACTGTTAGCTTTGGGAAAACAATTTGTTTTTTTTCTATTTATTTATCAATTAACCAAATTTACCCTGAAACATTTTCACTCTCATTTTGGACTGTCTATAACATATATGTAAATTGAACGAGGAAGAGCATATGGAAGTTGAAGTTAAAAACAAATATATTTGGTTTCCTAAGGCAAGTCAAACAGTTTTGTTACTGATATAAGTAGAATTTGTTTATTGTAGATATTTTGGAACATACCTATACTGATAATAATAACCAACTGATAATTTTAAGCAGATTAAGTAAATAAGACTGCAGTTAGTGAAAATTTTCACTTTATTGACTCTGACTTTACAGGATGTGTTAAAACAATTAAACATGTATAACTTAAAGGTTAATTGATTGTAACCATTATTTTTTAATTAATAGTGATTTATCTGTTGTTTGTCTGGTATTTTTTTATAGTATCATCTTTAACAATAACTGGCATATATTTGAAGCAAGAAATTCTAGCAGTTTAAACTTCTATACTATAAGTAAATAACAATCAAAATGATAAATGCTTAATTTGATGTTTAAAGTAATGATTAAGATCAATGATGATAACTGCACATTGTCAGTCATGTGCTGTGGCTAATAGCAAGAAAAAATAGCTTAATATTGATTATATTAATGATTATTATTTAATATTAATATTAAATAATAACCATAACTGAAACTAGTTACAATAAGTGATGATTTCGTAAGTGTTCTTTAACTTTTTTGTTTTGGGACATGCTATTTTTCTGATAATATTGAATGACTGATAGCTTTACTCTTGATTGCAATTTGTGGATTCTTTTGTAGAGAAAATTTTGAAGGTCAACTTTGAAAATTTTCTATAACAAATGAACAAAACTAAGTTTGATTAGTTTCATCCTTCATCAACTCTACAGTACATTAAACAAGTCAAAATACTAAGTCAACAAGTCTGGTTTTTATTTGATAAAACATTTTTTGAGAATTGTCTGTTTCAGCATCAGATCAAATCAAAAAGTAATTCTAAATTGAGCATATTGTAAAAGTTTGACTTAAACTAAACAATATTTTATTTTTATTTAGTTTGATTAATGTAATGTTTTAAATTCATTTTTTAAAGCAATCCTGAATTGCTGTAAACAAAGTTATTAAAATACAGAAATCTCTTTCCAATGTCTTTCTTAAGAGGTGTATTTGAGATCCTATATAAAAATGTTTACTACACCAAAAGTTGCTTTATTGGAACAAAAACAAACTAAATTCCAAAGTGCTTTCAGACTTCTTCAGCCTATCATTGCAATAAGGCCATAATATAACGAAGTTGCACATCGCTGATGCACCACCAAGTAGTAGTATACTGGAGATAGTGTTTTGTCTCCTTTTGAATTTAAAGCATTCTACGATGTTTATTGTAATTTAATTTTTTTTTCTTTTCTGCTCAAGTTGGTTATGTTATGGCGATATCTATCTGTGACAATGGGCTGAAAAAATCTTGAAAGCATTGGGAATTGGTATTTAGTTTGTTTTTGCTCCAGTAATGCAGTTTTTGGAGTGTTAATGAACAAATGTTATATAAAATTGATTAAAATATTATTATTATTAAATCAATAATAACTTCAGAATATTAATATTACATAATTTATATTTTTTTATATAGTTATTTTTAGAATGTGTAAGCATCCATGTTAGCTAAAAACTTTTTAAGATTGTTAAATGATCAAACTATCTATAAATGATTGTAAAAATTGTGATATATTTAGTATATAAATTAAACAATCTTTTTGAATATTTGAAAACAATCAATTCACAAAAGTAATGTTATTTTCAAAGGACTTTTGTTGGTTGATATAATAATTGATTTGTTTTGAGATCAGTAAACATTGATTTTATGAGCAACTGAATTTGTTTCTAAAAAAATCCATTTTTTAGAATTATGGTCAATGAGATAATATTTAGAAGAAATTTTACTATATTTTTATTATTTCTTTCTTTGTTTCTTTTTTTATTCCAGTATATTCAGGAATTCAATTGCACCTTGAGTACAGAATATATTGAGACATTGAGATAAAGAGGTAAGAGAGCTATCCGTTTTTTGTAGCTACGGACTTTGCTCTGTGGGAAGTAGAAGGAAGGAGAAAGCATGAGATCGAAGTGTGAAAAGAAAGGGAGAGAGAATAGTGTGAAGAGAAGGCATGGGAGGCACCATGGGTGCCTGCATTGCTTTCGTTACAATGATTTTACAGATTACATGAGAAAATACATAGCTAAGTTTGATACAAACAAGGTTACAAATGAGTATTTACAGATTCAGATAATAACAATTGGTTACATTATTAATATTTACAATACAGAAGCTGCTGTGGTATACATTTCAATGCCGAAGAATTTTACATATACAGTACTACAATTTCCATACAAACACAAGTGGTAGTAAATACAATAATCGTGCGTTACATTATTAATCCATTGGTGGCCTCGTTAGGCTGTGGGATAGTATGTTGTTGGTGGCCCTACTGCTGAAGCCGCTAGCGTTCAGGGTCTTTGTCTTGTGCACAAATTCAGTTAGACTTTTCCACAGTTTTCTGTTGTTGAAAACGTCTGGTGGATTCGGTGGCCAGTTCTGGCCTTCGGTAAGGCATTTTCCCATGAATTGGAGCCTTTTGTTGTCGTGTTTTGGGCAGTTGTAGAGGAAGTGCTCTTCAGTTGCTTCACTACAGAATATATTGGCAAACACGGATAGTCATAAATTGTATGAGTTTGTCCTATTAATGTGAAAACCATCCATTCAGGATTGTAATGAAATATATATGGCATTTTATGACATCATACCTTATGCTTTTTTTTATAGAAATATCATATACTTTTGGGCATACAATTTTACTTTGCTCCATTATATATAACAGGGAAAGTATGGTGATTGGTCAAAAAATGACTCCAAAGATTTTTATATATATTTTTGGACTTGGGATTTTGAAATATTGAGAAATGCAAAAGAAATTTAGCATTTTTTTTTTTTGTGTGGATGTTTTTGTGTGTATATGGCACAATATTCTTCACCCAGTTTGAAGCAC